CCCCGCTTAACTCATCATCAATGGTTTAGGTATGGAGGCTGGCAGGTACACGAATATCCGACTTCTGCCGCGGCTTTCCCACATACCTCATCCAGAACACTCTGCCAGATGCCCAAAACACCCAGGCACTGTCCGACATACAAAACGACCTGCCTATAGTGGAAATATCGCGCAAAATACGCCGAAAGCGGGAGGAGCGACGGCATTTCGTAGGACGAGTGCGAGGTCAAACCCAGTCCCAATATCTCACCTTCGGCAGCCAGAGTGGCCAGCCAGGAAAAGCCGAGGCAGAGAGCAGTGTTGAAGGCACAAAGGCAGTTGTCAGTATGTATAGACCAACACCTGGAAAACTTTCCTGAAACGAATGTAACGTTGCCAATCAGCTGGCACCAGTGGAATGGGGCAGGCCCAAAGCCAAAGCTCCCCAGTCGATTGCGGAGAATGTTTGGGCTCTGGACTACAAGACCAAACGCTCCTGTTCCGACGCCCTGCAGGACAAGCTCCCGAAAGAATAACACGCCCTGAATATCCTGGAGGTCCATTCCGGCCAGGAGATAGGTAAGTGCTTCTTAGACAGTCAGTATATTACCAAAACGGGACAATTCAGATTTCCGGGTGGATCTCAAGGATTCCCCAGCGGCCCCAGCGGCCAGCAACCAGGCCAAAGCGGATCGAACTATCAACCCATAGGCGACAGTCCACGCTTTCGGCCTGGAGACGTTTACCCGCCCCCTTCTCAACAACCCGGAGGAACTAACAATCCCCCCAACTTTACCCCTGGATCAGGACCCCCAGGCGAATATCCACCTTCTGGAACCATCGCTTCCGGACAACCCGGAGATAGTGGCGGTGGATACCCATATCCACCTCAAACAATCCCGACTTTCTATCCTGGATATGCCCCAGGTTCCACTGGAGTGCCCAGGGCGCCTCCAGCAGCAGGGCACCCAGGCCAGTACCCAACAAGCATCCGACCTGGCGAAGCTGGTTATCTTCCGCCTGGAGCACGCCCAGGAGAAACCGGCTTAGGATATCCGCCAGGAGGACCCGGATATCCCTCAATCGGTGGACAATATTTAGCGCCCGGAGGAAGCCCGGGAGACAGTGCTAGCCGACCTGGAACACCATATCCCTCAGGTCCACTCTTGCCAGGAACAACTGGAACTGGTCCTCAAGGTATATTGATAAAGACAGTAGAAATACTTGAGTTTGATTTGGACGTTAAAGAAACAACCAGACCAGGTGGAGGAAGTGGTCCATCAGGGACATTTGGCGGCCAACTTGAAGGACAATATCAGAGCCACGCGGGGCAAACTGGGAAATTCTCTGGAACCTTTCATGGCACATACGAAGCGGGAGCTGTTGGGGCTCAAATCGGAGGACCAGGTAGAAGATCTAGAAGCCAACTAATTACCTCTTTCAGGTTATACCCAATCAAATTCACACAAACTGGATTTCTAGGTGCCGCTTATGGACCGGGAAGCGCAGGGGCCTACAAGCCTGGACAATTTCCATCTGGGGCAATTCCTGGGTACTGGAGCGGACCAGGTACTTGCAAATAACCCTTCCGGCTTGTGCAAGTGCAAAGCAAAAATACTTTATCTTATTATGCAGGCACACCTGGATACGGTCCAAGTGCAGGTGAACTGCAGAAACCGGGAGTTGGAGCAATTCCTGGCTATGGACCAGGTGGCTTTATACCTGGACCCCCTGGGGCAAGCACTAGTCCATACCCAGCCACGCCTTCAAGATATCCAGGGGCGCCAGCAGGTACCACTCGATAAATATCAGATTATTTTGTAAAGCTCCGGGGGCGTTTCTCTTCTTCATCTTCCTCGTACGTTAGGACTCAGAGTCCTGTGTTTTTCTTCAACTTCCTAGTCCTGGGATGCTGATGTCCAGCTTTCGTACCATCGCTCCGGTAGTCTTCCTGCGAGTCTTGAGCTGTTAGGTTTTTGGTCTTTGGCGATTTTTGCCATTCGGTCGTCGGCCATTCTCTCTACATGGTCTCCCCACGCTCTTCTCCTTGCTCTGGTCTATCTTACAACATCCGAAACCTTACAGGTATCTCTAATTTCCTCACTCCTTTTCATATCGTATAGTGTGTGTCCTGTTATGGATCTTAGGACTCGC